CAGGCCTAGGGTTGCCATTGCCAACAAAGAAAAATTGATGCAAAGGAGGATGGAAAAGTCTCCATATCTCTATTTTGCCTTAAATTGGTTTTGATGCCAGCAGAGTGAGAAAATGCCAGAGGCTCTGGGTGGGTGCCCCATGGTAAATGCACCAAACAATTCCTAAAGATTTTCCAAAACACTACTCTGTCGGTAAATTGTTTTCTACGCTCACAGCGTCCTCTGCCAGAATGCAACACATGATCCCCAGCACTTTGAATTAGCACCAGAGCTTTAAGAGCTCTCCAGCTGTCACCTGGAGATTGGCAACAGCTTGTTTGGAGGGTGGGGTCTATGGCGTATCTGCCTGAGGTCCCCCTCTTCCTCCTCCTCAGACCCCACCCTCAACCGGCTTCATTCCTAAAATATCCTGGAAGTTTCCAACCTGGAGTTGGCAACCCTATGTCCTTTCCAGGCAACCATCAGCCTTCCTTTATCTGCCTGTCTGTCTTCAGGTTTACATCCCCCCCCCCCGGCAGCCTCTGCCTAGGGAAAGGGCAGTCTTTCCCTGCAGTGGGAACCAAAGCAGCTGACATCATTCTCCTCTCCCCCGTATGATCCACACAACTACCCTATGAGGTATTTTAAGGTTGAAAGTGTGTGTATGGTCCATAATCCCCCAGGCAGCTCTTAAAACATGAACCTGGGACCTGCACTCTGAAGCGCTCTCAGGTACATATCTGTGGCAGTAATGGGGTGACTGCTGGCACCTTTTCCTATCATTTTTTGCCTTGTGGTATTCTGCTTGTGGCGTGATCTGTCTTTTTTGTGGTGTGGCATGATTGTGTTATTGTGGGGGGGGGGGTTTGAGGTGTGGAATGGAGTGAAGTCCAATCAGCTTCCATATGCAAATGACCTTGAAACGCTGGCCCAATCAGAGAAGAGTGGGCTGAAGCGGCCCATCCGTAGAAGCCCTGTCCCTGCGCTCAGTCTGCAGATGGTCCTCTCCTGTCAGAGGCCCAGAGCAGACTGAGCCCAACACGCTGGCCGGGGCTGACATGGGTGGGACTACACAAAGCAGCCAGCCAACCCAGCCAGCGTCTTCCGACTGACAGTTCAAGCCTCCAAACACTGTTGGTGTGCATTGGATTGTTGGGCCCCACTATGGCTTTATATAGAAGGGACAGATGGGGTGTGTTGTCAACATCTACCTGGGAGTTAATCATGCTAAGCAGCGTGCCTGTAATAGCTGTTCCCCTTATCTCTATGTAACAGCTTTATTCCACTGACTGGGATGACAGGAAAGAGGAAGGGAGCTGCTGGGAGGGGGGCACAAGGGAGCACTTTGGCGTGTATACAGTACACTGGCTCTGTCAAGAGAACTGAGGTGGAGGAGAACATATGGCATGTGGGGCAGAGAGAGAGAATACTGGTACTTCAGAAGGCAGGTCTAGCTCCAGACTCCCTCCCATGCTTGCTCCTTGACCCTCATGATCTTTGGAAACATTTGACAAACCTTATATTGGAGAGTTTTTGTGGATATTGAAGTGACAGGTCTAAGACAGACCTCCGCGGCCTAGTACAATACAAAGGGCAAACAAAACATACCCGTTTCCCTAACAGTAGATGCAAAAATTCCAGCTGGGGATCATTTCTGAGTGCGTTTTGAAGTCACCAGGGCACACCTACGCTCCTTTACTGAATGAACAGTCCAGTAGCACCTCAGAGACCAACAAAATCTTGAAGGGTATGAGCTTTTGAGAGTCAAGGCTCGGAAGTTTTGACCCTCAAAAGCTCATCCCCTGAAAATCTTGTTGGTCTGTTAAGATACCCCTGGACTCAAAGCGAGCTATTCTACTGAAGTCCGACAGGGCTACCGGGTACCCTCTGAAACTTCCTGGAGATGTGTAGGTGAGAAGGCCCCCCACAAGGAAACAACAACAACAACACCTACATTTCCCTCAAGGGCTTTGTTGGCCCAATCCGCATCTAGCATTTGCTCCATTGTTTTACCAAACCCACACAGGAACAGGAAAAGATGCCGCTCAAACCCACATTCAAATACCCCAGGCCAACCTACTGACTGCAAACTCACCCCTGAACGGCCATAGAACAGTCATAAATCTATGCAGAGACAGTTCCATAAAACCGAGAGATCAAACCAAGTGTCTGGACGCTGCCATAAAATCCAGCAATCAATCAAAGTGAAAGTGGCATGCAACGCAGAGAGGAATTTCTGTTCCAAGGTGGGTTTGGTTAGAACAGCAGCTCAGGCCGTTCTTAAACTTCATGGAGGTCGGTGGCCGTCGAAGTGCCCTGTGACCGGCAAACACATTCGGTCCCACCCCCAGCCCCATTCCTCCTGAACGAGCAGCTTTGCTTTCAGGTTGGGCAAGGGGCGCCACGTGTGCTTGCCGGCCCCTGGAGGCACGCGTGTAAACAGGAGCGAGATCGTGCGATTCGGAGTCACTCCTCCTCCTCCTATCCCCCCTTCCTCGGCGTCTTTTCAGCAGCCCCCCCCCCCCCCCCCCCCCAGCAGCTCCCAGCTTGACTGGCAGCGCGTGGACTGGGTGGGGAGGCTGGATGCAGCTCAAGAGAGGAGGGGAAGGCGCTGGCTCTGCCCGGTCGCTCTGATCGCTTTTCCCCTGCGGGAGCGGTCGCCCTTGCATTGCAAGGACAAGGAAAAGGGGGAGAGAGAGAGAGGGTCCTAATCGGGGAAGCAGCACCAGCCAGCCAGCAGCACCGGTCGCGCCATCGCCCTTTCTCCGCCAGGCGGCATGAGCACCTGCGACGTCAAGGAGTATCTGGCCAGGAAGGAGATTCCGCAGCTCTTCGAGGTAACGGCTCTCCCCGCCAGCCGCCCCAGCCCGGAGCCGCCCCGTTCTCTGTCGACACGCTGTCCCTCCCCGGGTGGAGCAAGTTTGCACTCCCAAAGTCCGGGCGGAGGGGAGGAGGGAGCGGCCCCGGGAGCCGGGGCTGGGGAAGGAGAAGGGCGAGGTCGGGGAAAGCGGGGTCAGGTGGGGATGCCAAGCGACAGCAACTGCTCGGGCATTCGGGTCGCCTGTGCCCGACCTCTCCGAGTCTCCCACCGGGCAGAGGCGATCCCTTTTATTATTCTCCAAACTCCGAGCAAAAGATGCTTTCCATGGCCGTCCAAGACATTGGCTGGCTAGACAACCTTGAAGCCCTTGACGCTTGCCCCTGCTGGCAGAGAGGGAAATTGGGGGCATCCTCCCCAACCAGCTTGCTCGAGGTGCCAAAAGAGTGGGCTTCCCGGAGGTCTTCGATCCCTCAGCGCTTCTCTCTCGTCGCCTCGTTTCTCTCACCTAACCTGAGCGGTGGTGGTCCTCCCGGGGCTGAGAGTGCTCTTGCCTTCGGTTGTCTTTGCTGCTTTACCCGCTTTGTGTCGTAGCATTCAGACCTTGGGGGCTGGGGATGTGTGCGGAACTGGTGATCTGAAAACCCTGCACATCTCGCTGCCTCCCCCTCCCCGGGCTGGGACCAGACGTCTCACACTGATCTTGCTCAGCCCGGGGTGTTAAAAAGATTTTGGTCTGTAGTAAAAATGCCCAATGTAGAAATTCAGTCTTGATTTCCTTTGACCTGGCATTTTAAGGATCAGAAGTCTGCATTTCCAAAGACTGTTTCCATGGTCAGTAACCTGGTCAAGGTAGAAACCAGGCTCCCCCCCCCCCCCCCCCAGTAGCATTTTGTCATTTACATTACATACTTCTCTTAAATGAGACTCAGAGCAAAGATTTAATTTGGGGTAACTGACTGCAAAGACATATATGGGATGAAGGCAGCGATTGTGATTCATCGAGAAGTTTAAATGGATTAATTATAGATAGAAGCAGTTTTGCTTGGTGGGCGGCAAGAATTATTCACACAAGCAAACGATTTTTGGCATTGGATGGTATGTAATAAAGAGATCTTTTGGAATATGTTTTTGGAAAACACCTTATAAATTATTTCAAGGTGTTTATAAAATTGTAATACAGTTACCATTTTTAAAACGCTATTTAATGACACTGCAATTTGCGATTCTACCTGTTGTCCCAGTAAGTTCTGTAGCACAGGTCACAGCTTCTCCCATTTTAGACTGGGGCTTGAGGCAAGGGGTCCACACTACAGCTTTCAATGAGAGACTGTAGAATTGCTGCAAAAACGGGGTGGGGTGGGACCGTGGGGAATGTACCAAGGTAACTCAGATTCCAGTTCTAGAAGCTGCATTTTCCTGTGTATATATCTGCATATGCTTTGCACATTTTTGGTTGTTTTGCAAATGTTTATTCTTCTAATAATTATGGAGGGGGTCCTGCTATGTTACTGACACTTGATGGCCTGTTCCCCTAAGCCCCGAGTATTCTGCTCAGCCGCCACCACCCATCTTCTGGGTCAGTTGGTTCAGCTCCACACACTTCTAAGACTATTTTCAAAGCTGTAAAGACTAGAAACTTTTAGGGCAGACACAGAAAACTTGGATAGTCATGGGCTGCTGCCACACAGTGAAGATTCTCTGCATGGCTTTAATCACTACTGCAAATGCAGAGGCAGGTTGGTGATGGAGCTTCCACATGAGGTGTTTCCTATGCACTTCCTCCATTGACACTTGAAGGCATAGTTGTCATGGCTATTAGGGTGACTCACCATCATGATGGTAGGGGAAATGATGCCAAAGCAAATAAGACTTTTGCAGCAGGAAACATGCAAAGTGTTAACCACTAGGAATATGTTCTTTCCAAAAAGATCAGATTTAAGCAAGTTTGGGAAAGAGGTATTGAGAACCAGGAAACCCAGGAAAGAGGACAACTAAAGCACCACATTATATGCATGCTAAACAACAACAACAACAAAAAGCATTTCAGTTCAGAAACTAAAGCAAAGAAAGACTTCCATATAGAAAAATCTAGGATGAAATAATACACTGGCATAATCTCTTCCCTCTCATAATTGATATAGTCTATTATAGGCAAACAATGCTTATATTTTATGGTGTCATGGAATACATATATATGAACATATGAAGCTGCCTTATACTGAATCAGAACCTTTTTCCATTGAAGTCAGACTGACAGTGGCTCTCCTGAGTCTGAGGCTGAGGTCTTTCACATCACATATATGTTTGTAAAACTTATTAGAGCTATCACAAATTCCTGGCATCATAATTTGTCAAGTTACATTATAGTCATCAAATGGTTTTAGTGCTGTTTTGCCAAGACTGTGTATGCTAATTTTTTTTAAATGAGGTAAGTCTCTACAACAAGCATATACAACACACCTGGAAAAGTTAGGTTCCTTGGTCGGGTTAGGAGATAAATTGCAATATTAATTGTTGGAAGAAGTTAAAACATGTTAGTGTATTTAATATTTCTCCCCGAATAGCATTGTTGCTGAACTCACATTAGCAGAAGGGAAATTATCTAGACGTTAAGGCAACTCTGTACTAGATACTGTAATAAAAAGGTGAGAAAATACCATGATCAAGAAGAGGCAAGCTGAAGCAGGCGGAAGACCCGCTGTATGTCAAAGGAAGGTAGAAAGAAATATCACTGTAAGGATGGCAAAGGAAGATAAATCCTCAATCTAAGGGAGCTAAATCCCCAAATTGAGCTGTTTTTGTGCCAGGTTTTATTTAAGGCTTTTATTTTTTAGTCCAGTTGGAGCTTTTATCTCCACAGTGGTGTATTTCTATTGTTTTTTCTGTTCTGGTTGTTGCACCTTTTCTTTTTTTTTTCTTTTGATTTGGTTTTGTTGTTACAATTACTGTTTAATTATTATTATAAACCACCCTGATTACTTTTGTAGAAAAGCACAATATAAATAATAAATGCTTATATTGTATCATGCTCTTATTAAAGCATAGTCTGGGATACATGTTACAAGTGGGGGCCCACAAGACTCATGGGTGGGAATCCCATATCTCCCACTGCTGAGCCCATTGGGCTCCAGGTCCCACCATCCACCTTTGAGCCTGGCTGCAGTCATGGTGGTGTCCAGGAGCCAGGGGCAGATTAGCCATTAAGCAGACTAAGCACGTGCTTAGGGCACCAGGGCCAAAGGAGGCACTACAAAGTTAGGAAAAGGGTGAAAAGCTTAGTTTGTACAGTATATTGTGTTATCATATGAATAAATTTTTGTATTGCTGCAATCTGCATTGTATATCTGGTCAGACAGGTCAACAACTAAAATGGACTGGGTAAGTGCAGAAAGGAGGGGGGCACCAAGATCGGTCAGTGCTTAGGGCACCAGTGAGCCTTAATCCGCCTCTGCCATGAGCTGATTCAAGCCTGCCACTGCCAGGTCCAGAGCAGCTCCTGGCATCTGATGTCAGGCCTGGAGTGGCTCTCAGCATCTGCTGCCAGGCCCAGAGAATTAAGATAAGTGTATTGTAGGGTTGCCAAGTCTGAATTGGAAAATATGTGGAGACTTTGGGGGGGGGGGTAGATCCAGGAGAGGGTGGGGTTTTGGGAGTGGAGAGGACTCAGCAGGGGATGATGCCATAGAGCCCACCATTCAAAGCAGCCATTTTCTCCAGCGGGACTGATCTCTGTCAGCTGGAGATCAGTTGTAAAAGGCCCCACCTGGAGGCTGGCAAACCTAGTGTATTGTCTGTGTATGCACAGAAAATGCTCTTTTATTTGGGGGGAAATTTACCCTCCCCCCCTTTTTAAGATTTGAATTTTTTCTGCAAATTTAGGGGAGTGCTGCACTTTTGCAGGAAAATCTTTTTAGAGTCAATGTGGCTCCAATCCGCGGATGTAGATAGGGGGCCATATGTAACTATTAGATATATAGATATGTTGCGTACATGATATGCTATAGTTATTGCAAGAGTTAGTGCATTAACATTTTGTTTGTACAACCAAGTAGAAATTTTGAACTCTACATTTTAATGCTTCAGTGTCCAATCAGACGGCTCTTTAGATCCGTGCGAGGCACGATTGCCTCACGGATCTAAAGGTAATGTCCAGACACAAACAGCTGGGAAATGTCCCTCTTCCATGGGCATCCCATTTTGCCATTAGGAGCTGTACTTAAAAGATACCACTTTAAAGCTGGGGTTTTCGGTTACCTGCGGGACAACTGTGGACTTTCACCCGTCTGATCGTTCCACCAGCGTGCAATCTTCCCGTCGGGGTGGTCTGATGTCAGACCATCTTGAGCAGGCACCATTTAAAAAAATCTCTACACATGCGTGGATAAACAAGAACGCGCTGTCATGTCTATGCACATGCGCTAAAAGTTTTCTTTAAAAAACCCACCGTGCGCCTCCTTCAACAAGGATGCACTGTGACACCTATGCGCATGCACAATTTTTTGCGCATGCACAATCCACAATGGAGGCAGTGCGGGGTAAGGCAATTCACCAGGGGGATGTCTGGTCATGCTACAATGGATTAAAAAGATTGGGATTGAATTCAAGATGGCATAATGGTGGGATTAGCTGCTCGTCTGAATGCACCCTCAGTGAACCTTTCTGAAGAGTCCTGTAGTTTGTGAGTAAGCTTATATGTGCTAGCTTCTGTTTTGTATTTGAAATAAAGACACATTGTTGTGGTCTGTAGAGTGAAATGGAAATTATGTAAAGTGGTTGTGTTCTTACAAATATCACCATATTAAGAATGCAGTACTTTTCCATCTTTCAGTATCCATACTGGAAGGAATGTATGAAGTAGTAGTTAAAGTACTGATCAATAAACTATATTCCGGTTTGAATGAAGATAAAGCTATATTTTAAAGACAGTTCTGGTGCTTCAGAAACATTGTGAATTTACAAAATACAATGTAAACAAAAGCACACCTTAAAGAGTAAGATTTTTTTTTGAAAGAAAGTCTTCTGTAGGCTACAGCACTGAATCTTATGTTTTAGTCTTTAAAGTGCCACAATATTCCTTTCTGCTTGTGCTGCAACACACTTACCATGGCTACCACCTGGTAAATATAGCATATAAACTATGGTACATAAATTATATATAAAATGGAACTCAAGGATTAGAAACAGTCCAATCTCACTGATTTGCATGGTGGCCAGGGATGGAGAGTGTTGTTCTTAGGGAAAGTAGTTTGTATGGCAGATGCATATGTCATATTTTGTCCTAGAACAGCTCAATCCACATGTTCTCTGAGCAGCTTGGATTGTTTCAAAGGACAACCCATTCATGGGAATCAAAAGGCCTTTCCTGTTTTGTGGACTGAGGTGTGGGTGGAGGCCTATGAGTATAAGTGATAGTGTATCCATATGGTATCAGAGACATTTAATTTCAACTTTTTAGGGGGTGTTCAGGAACCCTGTAACATGCTGTTAAGACACCAATCTCCCATCTTCCCCCTCATTTTTTAAAAATAAATACAAGATCAGTTGAAAACCAGAAGCTCAAAAATGGCTGCAAAGGAATGCTGTGTTTTAGTAAGTCACACTGCAAGATTAGTAAGCCTTGCACACTGAATGATTGTGTTGTATGCTTTACATGTCTTAACTTGAACGATAATACCAGAAATATAGGTTTGTAATAAGGGTCTCGTTAAAGGTATAATCGTATTTATTTTTCAGTTTTAGTTGTCTACAGTAGTCTATAAATCATTTTGGGTGTTCTGTTTCAGAGTTTTATTAATGGATTAATGTGCCACAAACCTGACGATCCAATAGAATATCTGGAAGGATGTTTACAGAAAGTGAAGGAACTGGGAGGAGCAGAAAAAGTGAAATGGGACACTTTTGTCAGTCCAGAAAAAAGGACCCTACCTCCACTTAATGGCAGCCAGTCAAGAAGGTCATTCTTCAGGAATGGTAAGATATTTTTATATTATTATTTCATGGCTTACATTGGAATCAGATGAGTAGCAAAGGAGATTATTTCAGTTGGGAGGCCATTAGATGTCAATGCCACATGCAGTTTAATACTCTATCAATGACATGTGGCAAAATCATGTTCTGGGGCTTCTGTCAGATGTGTCACAGCAGGGAGAGGATGGCTCAATCGTGCACTAGCTGTCAAGAGAGGAGGGATACCACTGGGGTTAAGAGTAAGATCATGCAGCAGAGGTCTGCAGCAGAGGAGGGTCAGTTATTGGGAAAAGAACTTAGGCTGGTCGTTGCGAGGTGTTGAGAGGTTTGAAGGGCAGCATGGTATTGAGTTGACTGAGCGGACGTCTAGCCCAGTGTGAAGGAATGACTGGGTCCAAGGCAGAGGCATAGGAAGGCAGGAGTGGAACAGCTCTGGTTGAGGAACTTATACTGAGATGCCTGGAGAAGAAAGTCATTGTTATTGCTCTTGAACCTGGAGTCAGCATCTTGATTTGGTAAGGAAGGGGGATGGAACCATACCCGACACCCAGCTTGTTGACAGCCTCCACCCTCACTAGCCCTTGCTAGCCTCCCAGCCCCAGTGCAGTCACGCACCACAAGGATTCTATCATGAATTTTCTTGCAAATAAATGTGAGAAACTTACCAGCCATCAAGGTTTTTTTTAATCATCCCACCTGAGCATATATATATATATACTACATGTCATTCAGCAGTTTGAAGTTTGACATTTTGTTTATTATGGTCAAAGACCAGCAGAATCAGATATACAAAATCAAGCAACTAGATATACCAACAGGACATACCAACAAGACAGTTCTAAAAGTATTTATATACAATGAAGAATACAATAAAAATGCACAGCTAGAACATATAGAGCCCTAAACCAGCACTGTACCTTGGTAGACTCTGGCGGCTGCACAGAATTTGACAACTGTGTCCGAGGTTCCAGGCTCCAGGTCAGCTAGAAGAAAGGTAGTGTACCGTTCCTCCAATCTTCCTGGAATTTTATGAAGGACAGGATGAATAAAAGTGTCTGAGGTCCTCGTAAAATGGGCAGCACAGCAATATCTGTCCAACTGTTTCAGCTTCTTCAGTGGCACACGGGCATAAACCCTTGTGAAACAGAATATTACGGTACCTCCTCTCTAATAAGGCAGATGGTAGAGCATTAAAATGGGCCAGAGTAAAAGCTGTTCTATGTTTGGGGATCAGTAGATTAGCCAAATAATTTGACGGCTCCAATTTCTTGTTCCTAAGGTGATGATATTTTGCAGTGGAACTTAAGTGAGGTTGGAGTTCAATATCCCAGATTCTTGCTTAATTTCTGATTTAGCTTTTGAGTCCCCAAGGCAATTAAGCTGCTGGTAGAATATCCAATGGGCTGTAATTTCTCTAGGAGGTACCTTTTCCATTTTGACTGAAAGGTGTCTATTAAAGTCAGAGGTGTCTTGAATAAAACTTACAGGATTACAGACCTTACAGAAAATTTACAGACCTACAGGATAAAAAAATAAGCTTTAACCAGTAATCAACCCTGTGTATTCATGCACAAGCCTCCAGAAAGAGTAAACCCATTTCTAGATGCAATACTGTGTTAGGAACACAGTGAGGGACTGCTAGTATGGCTCTTAGGAATTTAGTCTGCATGACTTTGAGAGCACTGTAATTAGCATATGTACATAGCTGAGAGCCATACAACAACTGAGAAATAACCTTGGCCACAAAGACACGTTAAGCTGAAGGAACATGCTGGCTGCCTCTAGTATATTTTTTCCCCTCTGAGTAGAGACACTTCTCTGGGCATTCCCAACTACATTCTTGATTTGAGTGCACAAAGACCCAAAAGAACATGTCACCTACTCAATAATATTCCCATTAATCAACCATCAGTGCTTAGATCAGGGGTGTCAAACATGCTGTTCGCAGGGCAGATGAGGTCCTTGGAGAGCTCCTATCCAGCCCGCAAGGAACTGGCTGTCTCCTTCTTTCTCCAGTTCTGCTGCTCCTTCTGCATCACAGCTTGCTTTACCAGGCTCTCTCAATCACACAGAAGAGATAGATAGGCAAGCCTCTGTTCCCTGCACTCGCTGAGGCTCCTCTCCCTCCTCCTCCCAGGGGAATGGAGGAAATGAGCCAGAGCTTGCTTCCTGGCCAGGCTGCCTCAATCATGCAGGAGACAAAGGCAAGCCTTTCTTTCCCTCCATTGGCTAAGGTTCATCCCCTTCCTCCTGCCTTGATTTGCTCAGCTGCCTCAATCGCATGGGAGAAATACAAAACACCTTTAAGACCAACAAAGTTTTATTCAAGGTATAAGCTTTTTGCCTTGCTACAGAGAGAGATTGAGAGAGAGTGAGTGTGTGTGTATTTTGTTGGGCTTGTTATGCCAGGGCTCTCCTGGGCGCAACTGGGTTTGCCTCCCCTTTATCACTGTATTCATGCCCTCATGATCCAGTCTTTCTCAGTAGGAAAGCAATGTGAACTATTTAGATGAGGAATAACAACAAGCCAGGGAGATGGATTAGGCTGAGAGTGTGTGTCCAGACCAAGTTCATCCAACACATTTCCTTGGTAGACTGGGGATTTTGAACTTAGACTTCCCAGATAGTAGGCTGACACTGACCACTATACACTGCTGTCTCTCTATTCTTGCACTGCCTCATAGGAGTTGTAGTTATTTCTCTGGGGAAGACTATAGTTTTGTAGACAAACACATAACCCTCAGTCTGTGTCAGGATGCCTTCTCATGTTCTTGACCAGCACACGAAGCAATTTATGTACAAAAGCTCACAATACCTGGGTACTGAGCATGAGATTTCTGTAACGAATGTCAATAAATCAAAAGTAGATTTGCAACTTACAGATACACACCTGAACAGCATACTCAAGATTGCTACAGCACAGACATTTTGATGCAATAATTGAGAGCAGGAGGTGTCAATTATCAGATACCATTAAATAAACAAAATATTGCAAGAGTGCTATATATTTTAAGCGTGTTTTATTTAAAGTTTTAAAAAATCTTTAATTGTGTTTGTGTCCTTTATAAAGTTTATATCTTTTCCACCTGGCATTACATTTTATGACACGCATGGCCTGGCCCAACAAGGTCTCATTTATGTCAGATCCAACCCTCATAACAAATGAGTTCGACACACTTGGATTTTCTGTAATTAATTGCTAGATGCTCATTATTGCAGTATGCTGCAAGGGCTCTCAACATATGCTCTAAACCCATACAGGTATGAGACAGCAGGGCTGCATCATCAGCATAAAGTAAAACTGAGAGCAGTCTAGAGGCCAGTGAACGGGAATGAAAACTAGGGTCAGACAAACTGTTAACCGATGAATTAGTATAGAAGTTGAACAAAGTGGGTGCCAAAATACAACACCATTGTAAGAACAGGAGCTGACAGATGCCCGGCATGGTTATGCTTAATCCATAGCTATGTGTTTTTGTATAAATGACAGCTGAGAATTAGTAGCTGTCTTATATTGGTATTTTTAACTTTAATCCATAGTCTAGTGTATGAAATGAGATCAAATGCTGACTTAAAATCGATGAATGCTGCATAAGGTACACCACCTCGTGGTAATGTGTATTTGTCTACTAAATGCTGAAGAATAAGTCCCTGATCTAAAACCAGCTTGATCCTCCTCTAGGATAACTTCCTCTATAGATGGCTTGCATATAATTTACTAATAACAGTCAGTAAACTGGGCAATAATTGGCTGGTTCAGATCTAGAACCTTTTTTAAAATTGGAATAATTATGGCCAATCCCCAGTCCTTTGGGATGCAGGCTGTAAAATCAATCCAAGTGAATAATGAAGCAAGGACTGGAGCCCACTAGTCCAAATTTGCTTTTAAAAAATATGTGGTAATATTACTGTCACCTGGAGCTCTGCCTGACTTGGAAAAGGTTGGTGATTTCTGAGATGGATACTGGTTGGCCGCTCAGGAACCCCAACCAGGCTGTCAGCAGCTACCCATGGGCCCTCCTGTCCTAATGCAAAAATGTCTCTAAAATATGTTTCCCATGCATTCATGGGGATGCAAAAATCTAAGGCAGCTGGTTGGGTGCTTAATCCTCCCATCACAATCCTCCAGAAGGAGGCTGAATCATTCAGCTTTGATGCTGTGACCAACTTCTGCCAAACCTCTCTCTAGGCCTACAATCCATCGGAAAAAATGGTCACTTTTTTTAGAGAGAAAAGACCTCTTGATATAAAGTTAAAAAGCAGTTACCATTCCTTTCATAGTCAATGATCGGTACTTAGTCAGCTCAGTCCTTTTCTTTACATTGCCTCCCAAAACAAAATATCTATGTATTTAGAACTACTCAATAGTATAAAGGCATGTTAGAATGTATTATTAAACTGCTTTTTTAGAATGCTATTCTTAATGTAGCTCACCAAGTTGACAATGTTTGTATTGCTCTGTAAAACTTTTGAAAATTTTAATAAAAATAATTTTTAAAAAAAGCCAGTGGGTCATGTGCATAAGGCAGAGTCCTGCAAAGTTGCAGCCATGGTCCTTTGAATGCTTGATAGGAAGGGGGTGGGCATCATCCACCTCTGGAGGGAAATATTCAGCAGTGTGAATAGTGGGTCTGGCCAGCTGCTCACTCAAATGTATTATTATTTGCTGTAGGCAAGTGGCTAATTGCTAGTTTCATCTGTATAAATACCTTGTAAGTGCCCATACATTTATAAAGGTTAATGATGTAATTAAAGTTTCTGTACAGATAATATTTTATTCAGTTAATGAGTCTGGAATTTTGTCTTATCTTGGAGTCTATTTTTGAAACTAGAAATAACAGAAAAATTTCAAAAAAGTCATCCATTCACAGGCATAACAGACAAATTGCAACATAACATATTCCTGAAACTAGGGGTGCCAACTTAGATTTGGGCCTTTTTGGGAGATCTGGAGGCAGTGTCTGGAGATAGCAGAGTTTGGGGATGTGATGCCGAACATGCAAGTTCCTCTCTGTATCCCGGAGATCAGCAATAATCCTGGGAGAACTCCAGAACCTATCTGGAGGTTGGTAACCCTACTTAAAGTTAACCCAGCTTTTTCCTAGCTCTGCTGCTAAGACTGACTGGAACTAGTTCTGTGGGGAAACATAAACTTTCGAGGACAGCTTACATTTCCCAAAGCAACCAAAGATAGTTTAGCGGCATGCACACATATACTGTACTATCAGTGCACTGTACAATAATTTGGAAATGGATTGCCTTGTCCACACAGGACAATAATGCTGCAATATTCAACAATGTGTGGCTGCAGCCCAAGTGACATTTATAGCAGCTCAACCAATTACTCCTCCAGCTACACACCACCACTACTAAATTGCTTATTGAATTACGGTATATATAGAACTTTAAATGCTTGTTGATAAAAAGAAGAAAACCCTCCAAAGTATCAAGCAAACAGAGTCACATATAAACAGGCCTGTAATTAACTGTATTACTGATAAATGTAAAAAGGGTTCTGATTCTGATATTTCTTCTCTTACTGTTTTGTAGTCATGCCAGACAATCCCAACTTTCCTTATCGGCGGTATGATCGACTCCCTCCAATCCACCAGTTCTCCATAGAAAGTGACACAGATCTCTCAGAAACTGCTGAACTCATTGAGGAGTACGATGTCTTTGACCCTACAAGACCTCGGCCTAAAATCATCCTTGTCATAGGTAGGAAGGCAGACAGTCCTGGAGAAAATAACTAAAAATTATTTTATTGAATTATCAATGTATGTGATAACATTAGAACAGTTAAAAAGACATTACAATAGATTTTTACAACAGTACATGTTTAAAAACAGCAGCAAACAAGAAGGAGGGTCAATAAGGGAATACCAGATGAAATGAGAAAAATGATGGGGGAAACCGTCAAATCTCCCTGGGAAGAGGATTCCATAGTTTTCATGCCACCGTCAAGACAGCCCTTTCTCAGGTTACCACGTATCTAGCTGCAGATGATCGGGACACCCAGAGCAGGGCACCTGAAGATGATGGTGTGTTCTTAGGACTGCATTGACAGACTGTACTGAAATATCATGAACAAATTCTAGATTTCATTCATGATATCTAGTGTGCTCATAGTGTTAGATCACATTTACTGAAATAAAAAAGGGGGGGGATATATAAGCCTTGCTAATATCCTTGGAGGAATGGAGAATACAAATCAAGCACCAGTCTTACTTTCTTGACTATGAGCATCTGATTATGGTAATGTAAATATTTTCTAGTTCAGTTTATTACTATTCATTTAGTTAACTAGAATGACTATGAAGGACAAAACATAGTATATAGCTTGAAACCAAGAACACTGCTGAAACATACCATTAAAAACTGAGCTATGCCATTCTAAACAGAACTGGGGGCAAGAAGAATTGAACTCTGAACACTAGCAGCACTATTTTGGAATCAGTCATATTTATGACTTTTGCTGCTTATTTATGTGATAGTCTGGTTTGGCAACTCAGTAATTAGAGACTGACTTTTGGCTCTGCTCTGTTTGCAGCCTCCTTTATGTTAGATGGAACTGAGTGTTGTGCCAGTTTCTAATATTTCCCCTCTCCTTTATTATTAGCCAGCCTCTATAGCCTAATTGACCTGCTAGTTATGAAATTGCTCACAAGGGAGCCAGTTGATTTTTCTCTACACTTTTCACTTTTAAGCTACAGCAGTTACAATGGATTGCAGGTGACACAGGGCTACACTAAGTCTTTATCTTCATGAGACATCTACCCTTCCCAGTTCCTTTGCTGGATCGTTGAGTTCTATTCTATACAGCTGGTATTAGAGCATAGGATGAAGTTGTTGGTGTTTGAAGAACATTGCTTTCCTTACTTTTCAGGAAGATTTTGGCAGTCCAGCATTGATGGTCCATAGTGAATCCGAGCTTTTAATATGAGACCTTTTTGTTTGTTTTTCCTTATCTTTAATAACAGGCGGTCCAGGAAGTGGGAAGGGAACCCAGAGTCTGAAAATTGCAGAACGTTACGGATTTGAGTACATCTCTGTTGGTGAATTGTTAAGAAAGAAGATCCACAACACAAGCAGTAATAGAAAATGGAGCCTGATTGCTAAAATAATTACCACAGGGGAATTGGCCCCACAGGTAAATCAGTACTGAGATATTATCTGTTACATTATATGAGATTTTTTTTACATATACTCTTAATGTGTACAGTTAAAAAAAATCAACTTTGTGTTTTTTTTTAAACAAACAAGGAAACAACTATTACTGAGATAAAGCAGAGATTAATGCAGATCCCCGATGAAGAAGGAATTGTTATTGATGGATTTCCAAGAGATGTGGCCCAGGCTATTTCCTTTGAGGACCAAGTAAGAAATAGTTATTGTTTTTTTTAGAATTCTTAGTTGTTTTGAATTTGTTCTGTTCTTTATGTTAAGAATCTGAACTCTAGAAAAACTGGCAATGCGGTCTTAACTGAAGTTTCACTTTTCTGAGTCTATTGAAGTCAATGAATTTAGAAGGTTATAACTCGGCTGCTTAGGATGCCACAACAAATGTAGTCAATATGCTGAAGACACCCAGCTCTATCTGATGCTGGGCAGCCGGTCAGACTCTGCCCCGGATGACCTTCATCGGGCGCTACAGGCTGTGGCTGGGTGGCTCAGACTGAGCCGGTTGAAACTAAACCCGGCAAAGACGGAGGTCCTGGGCCTGAGTCGGATTGGTTCAGGGTTGGGGCTCCTTCTCCCAACCTTTGATGGGGTGCCTCTGGTGCCAGCGTTGGAGGTTAGGAGTTTAGGTGTGCGCTTGGACTCCTGTTTAACGATGGAGGCCCAGGTGGCAGCCACTGCCAAGTCGGCATTTTACCATCTTCGGCTGGCTCGGCAGTTGGTCCCCTTCCTTAACCGCAATGACCTGGCCACTGTGATCCATGTGACGGTTACCTCGAGGTTAGACTATTGTAATGCTCTCTACATGGGGCTGCCTCTGTCGCAAATCTGGAAGCTGCAGCTAGTGCAGAATGCTGCAGCCAGGCTGTTGATGGGTCTCTCTAGGAGGGATCACATTCAGCCTATGCTAAAAGCACTGCACTGGCTGCCAATAGCGTACTGGATTCGCTTCAAAGTGTTGGTTCTTACCTTTAAAGCCCTTTATGGCCAGGGTCCAGCCTACCTGAGGGACTGCCTTTCCCCATATGTTCCCCCAAGGGCACTACGGTTGGGGAGTTATCATCTCCTGGAAATGCCAGGTCCCAGGGACAGTAAATTTGCAGTGACCAGAGCCAGGGCATTTTCGGTGGCGGCTCCTACCTGGTGGAAGGAGCTCCCGGAGGAAATCTGGGCCCTGCGGGATCTTTCTCAGTTTCACAGGGCCTGCAAGACGGAGCTCTTCCGCCAGGCTTTTGAGTAGGGGCTGCCGCCGCCACTACTCCATCATTGCTATCTATGCACCATCGCACTATTACCACCACTATCTGGTTCTTTCGGGGTGCGAGGTGACCCTGGCAGGAGAAGGGATGACAGACTATGGGAATGCTACCATTGGGATTAAGATCTACCTCATCTTGTGATAAACGGAGCACTGATATTTTGTTATTGTATTTTATTGTTTTAATGCTATGTTGTTTTTATTTGTTTTAATCTTGGCACTCTGTGCCTCTTGTTAGCTGCCCTGAGCCTTCGGGGTAGGGCGGGATATAAATACAAAGATAAATAAATAAATAAATAAATACTAATGAAGCAGTCAATATTTCCTTTAAAGTTTTGCAAAGGTGAAATAGTTGGCTAATAAAGGTCATGCTTTTGACCTATATTTTGTCAATACAATGACCTTGTGGCTTTGAAAGCAAGTAGAATTTGGTCATACAGCAGGTAACCATAGTATTTCCTTGCTTCTGTGAAGAAAGCCTTCCTAAGGGCAAAAGAAGATCCAGTTTTCTGAAGCATATTTTTCATACATCATTGATGTTAAAATGTCAAACAAAAGGCTTTTACTTAATTGCAACTTTTCTGGGCTCATTAGGAAGAATGCAGTTTTATGGACAGACTCTGTTTGTTGCAGATTCCTAAAAGAAAACGCAGAAAGAACCTCTCTGTGTTTTGTAGCATATCCATTAACTATAAGTGTCTTTTCTAAACTAATTTTTGGGTAAAGTGGCTCAAGTGGTTAAGACGCTGAACTGCAGGCTGTGGAAGGTCAGTAGTTCAGCAGTTCAAGACCCGAGTGTGCCGCATGATGGAGTGAGCTCCTGTCTCTAGTTCCAGCTCCTGCCAACCTAGCAGTTTGAAAGCAAAAAATTGCAAGTAGATAAATAGGTACCACTTCAGTGGGAAGGTAGCAGCGTTCTGTGCGCCTTGGTGTTTAGTCATGCCGGCCACATGACCACGGAAATGTCTTCGGACAGCGCTGGCTCTTCGGATTTGAAACCGAGATGAGCACCGCAATCCTAGAGTAGGATTCGACGGCTTTCGAGCAAGGGAACCTTTACCTTTACCTTTATACAGCTTTTTAAAAATATCACAAGGCTCTTTTTTCAAGAATAAAATAAAAAGGCAACAATTAAAGCAAATGTGTCATATTAAAGATGATGGCACCTTAAAATATAAAGTAGTTTTCATTAGTGATTTATGCTGTAGGACATCTCTGTGCAGTTTCTTGAGCAAAGTCAATGGCTTTCTTGCCATCAAATAGATTTTCAGGATTGTGTCCCTCTTTTCAAGGTAGTTTATCATTGCTTAATCCAGAATAGAGACTACCTCTGAAGTAAGCCTTCAGTATTTTAGTAGCATGACAGTATTATTCCTTTATTGTGAGGCAATCCAAATGATTAAATTCATGTGATTGAAACATATTTCACCTTCTGATCAAACATTGTAACAAGCTATAACATTTTATGAAAGCCATATGCAAAGGTTAAATTTCAAAAGTGGGATTTTCTGCAGTTCTCTTCAAACAAATCATTTTAAAGTGCTCCATAATCACTAAAAATGTTAATAACCATTTTGAAGTAGACAATCCTATGCAGATGTGTGTGCAAGATGGTAGCCTAATGAGGTAATTCGATTTTGTTCTCTAATAAGGCATGGCTTTTGGAGGAGCTGAAACAATTCAATATCAGTAAATCCAGCTCCATGACAGCTCTTTTTCTTTGTCCTCTACCTTTGAAGAGAACACTTTGTCCTCTACCTTTGAAGAGAACACTTTTTCTTTGTCTTCTACCAGTGAAGATAAAACTAACTCTTAGGTACTTGGAAGAAATGTAGTATTTTTATATTTACACAGACTTGGCTACCTAATCTGGGGTGCTGCTGATGATCAAAGAATGCATACCGACAATTATATAACCTAGATAAATTACAGCATATTTTAATGGCATTACCCTAATAACAATCATAGGATTTAAAAAATAATAAAATAGTGGGTTAGCTTCCCCACTCATTCAGTAAATGCTTAGGCATGCAGGGGGAATTTTAGCCTTTATCAATGACAAGTACAGAAGCAGGGAATGTCAAGGAAGCTCATGTGATGGGGGGAAAACAAGCACCTATAGATATTTTCCTTGTGTGGAGCTGAGCCTAAGTCCACATAAATTTTAAATTTTGGGTTTTATGGTTTTGATATATTTTATGTGTTTTAAGCCATCTTTTAAATGTGTTTTAAGCCCTCTTGAGTTCTGTAAGGAAGAAAAGAGGCTAATAAACGTTTTAAATAACTAAAATAAATTAGTGGGCATAGAATGGTGTAACTTTGGTTAGGATTGCACTGTATGTTTGCCAGGGCCTAGGTGTCAAATGCTTTAGACTACAGGAGTTCTCTCCTGTTCCCTCTTGACCTCTGTTGCTGAACGCCTAAACTCTGCTACCCTGTTAGAGCCCTGAGATGCAAGTCCCCAGGAAACTTGTTTTTACAGAGTCTAACCTTTAATAAACCCTGATTTACAGCTGTAAGCTATAGGTCCACTCCCAGGAATTAAACAATAGCTAGGGTTGCCAAGTCCACTCGTCGCACTGGCAGAGGGGCTTAGGGGGCATTCTAGGTAGACCTAGGGTTGCCAGCCTCCAGATGGGGGCCGGGGATCTCCTGCTTTTACTACTGATCTCCAGCCGACACAGATCAGTTCCCCTGGAGAAAATGGCTGCTTTGAAGGGCTCTATGGCCTTGCACCTTGCTGAGGCCCCTCCCCTCCCCAAACCCCACCCTCTCCTGGCTCCACCCCCAAAGTCTCCAGGTATTTTCCAACCCAGACTTGGCAACCCTAGGTAGACCTGTAGCTACAGTGGGGCCTCTCGAAGCCTGGCCCCACAGGGCTCTTTTTGTACCAGAAACTCCTTTGCATATTAAGTGACACACCCCTAATGTAGCCAATCCTCCAAGAGCTTATAGTTGCCGCTGTAAGAAGAGCTCTGTAAGCTCTTGGAGGATTGGCTACATTAGGGGTGTGTTGCCTAATATGAAAAGGAGTTCCTGCTACAAAGAGCCCTGCATTACCACCAAGGCCCCACAACTTCCCATCCAGCCCAGGATTCCTCTCCTCTGCTCCCAAGCCCTACACTAAAGCCAAGTGATTGTAGGGAAGGGTGGCAGCAGGGCTGTTCGTTCGTGTGTATGCAGGTAGGGGTGTATGGGGTGCCCTCTGACTTATTTAAAAGCCCCCAAATTTAAAAAATCCTGGCTACAGGCCTGATTCTAGGATGTCCCTGATGTGATGATATCACCTGGAAGTGACATCATCACATTGGGGATGTCGCACGGCAATGCTCTGGTTTGAGGACAAAACTCTATGGTAAAACTGGCTTCAAACTATAGAGTTTTTCCCTCAAAAAAGAGCATCACCCTGCAACGCCCCCAACATGATGATGTTATTTCCGGGTTGCATTGCTGTTTGGGTGTGGGGTTTCTTCCACTAACCAGCTGGCCAGTGGTGGACAGAAGCCACAAAAACTAGGGGAAGCCCTGCTGGGACCTGGGGACTGGCAACCCTAACAATAGCAATTTGCTGGCCCACCTCACTCAGCCGAATCCCCTTCCAGCAGAACAATGTGTTAGTAGAGCATAATATACTAAAAGCTAGAGGGAGATTTTCAGACAGAAACACTCAAAACTTCTCAGGAGCCATACAGCCTCAATCAAACAAATACACATGTCCCAAATTCCAAGCTCCTCTGTTAGAAGTCTCTGTTCAAGAGCACAGGATGTAAGCCCCCAGGAAACCTGTGTGTTTTCTTACAGAGTCTGACCTGTAGTCTAATTTAAAGGCACATTTGAAAAACAAGTTAATTGGGAAAGGCCTTTGGACTCTTTGGCCAGTTTCGATCAGTCCATTTTCTAACTTCCAAAAGAAGATTGAATTTTAATTTTTCCTTTCTTC